CCAGCCTAGACTTCATAAAGCTACAAGCTAACCTGGGCTACATAGCAAGATCCTATGTCAAAAAAAATTTTTTTAATAATAAAACATGCCAGGCATTGGTGGCACATGCCCTTAATCCCAGCACTCAGGAGGCAGAGGCAGGCGGATCTCTGTGAGTTCGAGACCAGCCTTGTCTACAAGAGCTAGTTCCAGGACAGCCTCCAAAGCCAAAGAGAAACCCTGTCTCAAAAAACAAAAACAAAAACACCTTACAAAACAACTTCAGATTCTGAGCTAGGCATGGAAACATGTATCTGTAATCTCAGAACTTGGAAGCAGAAGCGATTAATTCTAGTTCAGCCAGGTCTACATTGCAAGTGACAGTATAGCCAGGCACCTACACACATATGCACATAACCCTACACATACATATAACTAAAAATAAACCCTAAAACAACAAGTTAGTAAGTATATAATGAAGTAGTATTACTGGAGAGACATTTGTACTTTGCTCACACTGGCACTGATCCACGGATACAGAAATATGTGATTAGGAATCATTTTATTATTGCTATGATCATTTAACAGAATAATAGTAACAGATTTTCCCATGGCCCATGACTTCACTAGTCATTACCAGGTATGGCTCCCATCTTACAGAGCAGACCTTCAATCCACTCAAAAACAGGAGAATTACTCCTGTAACATCTGTGCCACGATTGCACCAGTGGACTTATCTTGCAGGCAGTTCAGTATTGTAGCTCATAGCATTCATAGGTGGTGAAATTAATGATTACTTTTCTCCTCTGGTACTTCCAACAGTATGAACACTAGCAAGTAAGAGGGAAGCTCCTAGCTGAGGACCAGCAAGATTTCTCCATGTTCCATGACTCAAGAATGCAGCGTCTTCAGCAAAAGTGTCTTACTATCAAGTTGTAAAGGATAACATTGCATTGGCAATAGCTTATAATGTTTGCAGGATCTACGGAACCCCACTGGCCAACAACTCGAAAAGATGTAATCTATTCCTGGTACTGGGGGTTTTATTTGGTAGCACATGGTGTTTACTTGAGCTATTGTTCCCTTCATATGGTAATGCTCCTTAAACTCCTTTTATACATATTTATATTTTAGGAAGCTTCTACTGTAGTAGGTTTCCAGATGGCTTTTCAAAAAGCCTTTAGTGTTAGCTGTCGGTCCTCCATCCTGACCTCCCATTCCTTACCCCAGATGATCCTCCATTTCTGAGTTCCCCTTTAGCCTTTTATAACACTATATTATATTTCCCCCTTCCTGGGAACATCCCTTCCTTTCCTCAAAGTGCCCTGCTCGCTCACTAGCAACTTAACCTCTGTGGGTATTCTAAATGAAACACACATATCTAAAGAGAAAAAAACATGCAATGCTTGTCTTCCTGGATCTGAATTGCCTCACTCAGGATGACTGTGGTGTGCACTCGTAGTCCCACATACTTGAGAAGCTGAGGCAGGAGTATATGCTCAAACCTCAGAATCCCAGAGAGCCTCCATTTCAAAGGATCATCATCATCATCATCTTAGATAGCTCAGGCTGGTCTCAAACTTGAGCTCCTCTTGCCTTAGCCTACTGAGTGCTGCAGATAAAGGTATTCACCCTGCCAGTGGTTTCTGATATGAAGATAACTTCAATTTTAAAATTAAAACTGGGGCTGAAGAGATAGTTCAGCAGTTTAGAGCACAGACTATTCTTGCAGAAGACCCAAGATCAGTTTCTGCACCCATATCAATGCTCACAACATCCTTTAACTCCAGCTCCTAGGGATCCAACATCCTCCTTATGGCCACAAAAGGCACCTATACACATATGACATGTGCACACACACATTCACACATGAATAAAAGCAAAACTAAACCCTTGAAATTTTTAAATAAAATTAAGCTAAAAATTACACAAATGAAAAAAATTTAAATTAGATCACAAAGTTTCTGTTCTATTATTGAGGTACAAACTAGAGCAGAATCCCCCAAAACAAGATTAACTGCTGTGTTTACAATATATAAACATTGGGTACTATTCTTAGACCTTATGTATATTGTTAAGGGAGCTTTACAAAACCATTCTTCACATCCCCTACCATGTGGAATGATGCTCCTCTGAATACATGTCATATCTGTCTTAATTAAAGCACCTAGATTAGAACACAGTATTTTGGGTATGGTCTGGTCAGTAACTATATACAGTAAAATTAACTTCCCATAATTGAGGGCATTTCACAATGAATGCACAAAAAATTGCATAATGTCATCATTTATTTGTGATCTACTTTTTCATTTACCTAAAATTGTATCACCAAACCTATCCCCTCCCCCTTTGAGGCATTATTGTAGTCTAGGTTGTCCTGGAATTTGCTATGTAGACCACACTATCTCCAAAGTCACAGCAATCCACATCTCCCAAGTGCTGGGATTACAGGCATTAGGCACCATGTCTAACTGCTTTTTTGAGACAGGATCTCACATAGTTCAAGCTGGCTTTGAACTAATGATCCTCCCATCTCTATCATCCAAGGGCAGGGGTTACAGGTGTGTGCCACCATACAATCTCCCAATCTGTTTTTTTTTGTTTTTCTTTTTCTGGAGCTGAGAACAGAATCCAGGGCCTTGAGCTTGCTAGGCAAGTGCTCTATTACTGACCTAAATCCCCAAACAGGCCTCCCCCAATTTTTCTTAAACTTGGTTAAAAAAACAAAACTTACCTAAGTTTTCAAAATAATCTTTGAAAAACATGTTAAAACCAGGAGTTAGAGAGACAGCTCATCAAGTTAAGAGCATGAACTGCTCTTACAGAGGGACTGAGTTCAGTTCCCAGGACCAACTTCAGACAGCTCTCAATCACTTTTAACTCCAGCTACAGCTGAACCTCTGGCCTCCCCAGTTACCAGCCCTAACAGGACACACCCTATACAAACACAAATACACACTTAAATTTTTTGTTTGTTTCTTGAAACAAGGTTTCCCTCTGTAGCCCTGGCTGTCCTGGTACTCACTTTGCAGTGTTCCCATAAATCCTTTAAGGCTCCTGTAATAAGTACGGTCCTGAATCTAGAGATGTTAAAAAGATCACACAGAAAATGGTAATGATCCTTGTCATTGTTCCCCTCTAGTGAAAAGTAGTCAACAGATGCCTTAATATTCTCTCAGTGCTTGCAAATGAATTGTTTTCGTCAATATCACTGTCCACTCAGACTAAAACAACACCAATCTCTTCCAAGACTGAAATTCAGCAGCAAAGAGACGCTTAAATCCAGGCAATATGATTTCTAGGGAACTGAACTACCAAGAAAAATTAGGCATCTTTCTTTTCTTTTTTTCTTTCTTTCTTTCTTTCTTTTTTTTTTTTTTTTTTTTTTGTCTTTCGAGACAGGGTTTCTCTGACTAGCTCTGTAGCCCAGGCTGGCCTCAAACTCAGAGATCTGCCTGCCTCTGCCCCCGAGTGCTGAGACTAAAGGCCTGTGCCACCACTGCTCAGCCTGGGCATGTTTTTTATTTTGGAATGTTTTTCAAACTGTGCATATACTAAACAAGTCATATGGTATCCATTCAGCAACAAATTATTTCACAAACAAAAGAGACTGCACAATTATATAACTGGAAACATAGGTTGATGCTCTTGCTCCCTATGATACATTCTTATTACTGATTTTCATAAAAAGAGACAAAAACCAGGAAGCGGCAGGGTGAGAAATAACAAGTTAGATGTCACACACACAATGAGTAATGACACCCCAATTCAAGGAGTGCTTTACCTATGGGTTATTTAGTTGTCTTTGTCATTTATGTGTTATTGTTGTTGGAAGCAATGTACCTTCACCCAAATCTAAATATAAATATACAATCATTCACTACATCTTCCTTATAAATGAGACCTCCAGATTGTGCCATATAAAGGAAAATTGGCTCCTAGGCGTTTCTCCTTTCTAGTAAAATGTTAGCACAACATATGCAAACACTTGAGACAAAAAAAACAAAACAACAACAACCTGAACTTGTATTTTCTGTGAAAAAGATTTATAGCCTTTTAAACCTGTATGTTAATCTCTGTGCCATTAACTTTTTATAGCATTCTATGAACTCTACAACAAAGGGGGAAAACTAAGTGTCAGGATTTCAACCGATGAATCTGGGTGGAACAAAGACTTCTCCCTTCATTATGCAGTGAGAACCAAGTTGCCAAAAAAGAAAGAAACCCTCAGACATCATTGGTAGTTACTAACTGCATGCCTGGATGCACAGTGGGAAAAAAAAATCATCAGGTCAAATACTACTCCTACCTACCTGGATCCCTACCCCTTTGCCAAAGGCGTCGTCCCAGAGCTAGAGCCCCAATCTTTTCTCCCCAATACAGCTAAGAGGCTTAACCCTCTGAGTTCCACAACCTCCTCCAGTATCTTTTACGCAGGCGCCCCAGACCACAACCCGCGTTCGAAATTCAGTCCATGCCCCTGCCCCCCCCAGACCCCCGAAGGCCTGCTCCTAGTGACCACTGACATCAGAAAGGGCAATCCCGATACCCCTTCCCCGTGTCTCCCACGCAGCCCCGCCACTCCCTACCCATTCGCCCAGCCGGGAAAGGGACAAGCTCGCAACCCTCAGTCTTGCTCCAACCCAGCAGAGGGGCGAGGCAGATGCAGCGCAGTCAGCCCTCAGCAGAGGCGAAGTGGGAACCCCATGCCAGGGCGAGGCGCATCGCTCCGCCGCCGGAATCGGGCTGGCAACGAGGGGAAGGTGTGGTCCGGGAGCGGCGGCCTGGATAGACGGCCTGGCGGGTCCCGGGTCCGGTCCCCTAGACACCCGGGCCTCCACCGCGACCCATCTTCCCACAGTCGCCACCCAAGCCTACCCAAGACACTCCTCCCGGCCGCGAACGCCGCCCGGGGGGCCGTGGGGGTCTGCGCCTCATCAGGATGGTGACAGGTGGCGACGGGTGACCATGGCAACCCACGGTGCCCGGCGGCCCGCCCCCGCCTCCAGGAATCCACTCACCTGAGGGCTCCGGGCGGAGCCGGCAGAAGCGGCGGAGGAAAAGGCGGCAGAGAGGCCGGCGGCCGGAGCCCCAGGACAGCCAATTCCCGGCTAAGGCGCGAGCGCGAGGGCGGCGGTCTGGGCTGAGCAGCCCGCACGTCAATCCATCAGCTCGCCAGCCGGTCCTCGTCGCGTCCGCCCCTAGCCCGCCTCCGACCGCTCAGCTCCGCAGACTGCGGTTGTCAAGCGCCGCTGGAGCAGAGCTCCAGCCGCCAGCTGCAGCCAATCACTGCTCGTCCCTGGGGCCGTTTCAGGACCCCTCCTCGCGGGGCGGCTAGGCAGGTGCCTGCGCAGAAGAGAGTCGGCTGGGCCAGCCCAGGAGGATAGGGCGGGGCCTGCAGGCGGGGCCTAACACCGGGGCAGGAACTAAGACTTGGCTGCCTGGAGGCTCCTGGCTCTCAACGTCTGTGCCCTTAAGTATTTGGAGATGCCTATCCAGAGGATGCAGTCCCAGAACCATCGGGTGACGCTGTGTCCCAAAATAGCATGGACAGGGGTGGTGGTTTGAATAAGAATTGTCCCTGTAGACTCATACATTTGAATGCTTGGTCCGCAGTTTGTGGACTGTTTGGGAAAGATTAGGGCAGAGGTTTTCTTTTTTGTTTGTTTTTTGAGACAGGGTTTTGTGTGTGTGTGTGTGTGTGTGTGTGTGTGTGTGTGTGTGTGTGTGTGTGTGTGTGTGTGTGTGTGTGTGTAGCTCTGACTGTCCTGGAGCTAGCTCTGTAGACCAGGCTGACCTCAAACTCAGAGAGATCCACCTATAGGGCAGTGGTTTCCAACCTGAGGGTGGAAGGACCCTTTCATAGGAGTTGCATATCAGATATCCTGCATATCAGACATTATGATTAATAACAGTAACAAACGTATGAAGTAGCAATAAAAATAATTTTATGGTTGGGGTCACCACGGCATGAGGAAGGTATTAAAGGGTCACAGCATTAGGAAGGGTGAGGACACTGGATTAGGAGGTGTGGACTGGTTGGAGAAGGTGCATCACTGGGGAATGAGGGCTCAAAAGCCCAGACCATTCAGAGTTAGTTCTATGTCTGGTCCTGGTGGATCAGATGTAAAGCTCTTAGCTACAGTTCCAGCATCTTGCCTCCCTGTCTGCTAACATGCTCTCTGCCACGATGTCATGGACTAACCCCCTGGAACCCTGAGGCCAAAATTAAATGCTTTCTTTTATAAGTTGCCTTGGTAGTGGTGTTTTGTCACAGCAATAGAAGAGTAACTAACACAACAGGTCTGATACTTCCAGATGTAGTTGTGTACTTCTATTATTTTACTTCCAATAATTTATCAACAAGGTTAAATTAAATAAATCTTGCTTCCTTCCTCTTTTCCATACTCCACCTCTTTCCATGAAAACTTAGCAACTTGTCTGTCCTTTCCAGTTTCTCAATGCTATCCTTCCTTGAAGCACCCACTTATCGAGGTCACTGTTTTTGCCTGCTCGATTATTTACAGTAGGAGCCTCACTCCTACAATATTTGTGTAGTAGTATTCTTCCAAATATGTGATGCTCAAGGAGCTAAATTAAACCTTCAGGAATTGTAACAATATAGAACTATAGAAGACAACCTTGGCATAAAGAATTTGGTCCAGCCAGGTGTCCAACTCTTGGAAGGTACAGGTTGGCCAATCTGTGAGATTTGGCCAGTCTGGTTTACAGCCAGTTAGGACCATAAAGTGAGACCCCGTCTAAAACTAAAAGTTAAAAAAAATATATCCATTTCAAAAATAAAGAGCCAGGTGAATCACATCACTTGAGAGGCAGAGACTGGAGTACTAAGAGTTCGATGTCATCCTCAGTCATACAGAGTTCAAAGTCATCCTGGGCTACATTAGACTCTGTCTCCAAAAACAAAAGTACTGAAAAGATGGCTCAGCCAGTCAAGCCAATTGCCACCGAGCTGATGATCTAGGTTCAATCTCAGAACCACATGATAGGAGAGAACAAACTCTTGCAAGTTGTCCTCTGATCACCACGTGAACACTGGCATGCACACACACCCAATAAATAAATGCATTTTAAAAAAAAAGTCAAGCTGGGCAGTGGTGGCGCATGCCTTTAATCCCAGCACTCGGGAGGCAGAGGCAGGCGGATCTCTGTGAGTTGGAGGCCAGGCTGGACCGACAGCCTCCAAAACAATACAGAGAAACCCTGTCTCGTAAATACCAAAAAAAAAAAAAAAAAAAAGTCAAATACGGTGGTGCATGCCTTTAATTCAGCAGGATAAAAAGCATTGCAGGTTGGAGGCCAGCCTGAGCTCAGCTACAAGCTCTACCCTGTCTCAAAAGAAGATGGGACTGGAGAGATGGGTCTGTGGAAAATACTTGCTATGCCATTGTGAAGGATAGCACCTGTGTGAGACTGATGGCCGCTTATAATCCCAGAGCCTTGGAAGCAGAGCTGGGATCATGGGGGTGAGGGACACAAACTGACTTATTGTCAAGCTCTGGGTTCAAGGAGAGACTTTGCCTTGATAAATAGGGTGAAGAGTTACCAGAGAAGACACCCAATGTCAACTTCTGGCTTCTCATGCACACATACAAAAAGGAGGAGGAGGGAACCCTGAAAAAAAAAGTCATAGTTTAAAGGAAAAGTTGTAGGGAGAACATTTTTAATTTCAGGGGAAATTTTTACAAATCTGAACTTCAAAACACCAATTTCCCAGTTCACCTAAATCCTGGAAGAAAATCATAAAAACAAGTGTCTTAATCACTAGTCTGTTGATGTGAAGAGACACCGTACCAAGGCAACTACTGTAAGAAAGAGCACTTAGTTGGGAGTTTGCTTACAGTTTCAGAGGTTCAGTCCATTGTCGCCGTGGCAGGAAGCCCTGCAGCATGCAGGCAGACACTGGAGCAGTAGAGGGGAACTACATCCTGGTCCACAGTCAAAGAGAGAGACTCTGGGCCTGGTGGAGGCTTTGGAAAACTCAAAACCCAGTGACACACTTCCTCCAACAAATCCTCACTTCCTAATCTTTTCAATCCTAATAGTGCCATCCGTGGTGACTGAACGTTCACATATGTGAGCCAATGAGGGCCATTCTTATCAAGCCATCGCAAGCTTGGCAGAAATGAAGATATTCTGATGAGAAATGTGTGCCCCTCCTCTCAGTTTCCAGACTATTGAGACAATAATTACTAGGACACTGGAATTTTCTGGGGGTGGGAGTGAGGGCGTCTCCTGTCCGGTGACGGAAAAGGCTGAAGCCTGGTGCCATCCAGAGGAAGACTTGTCTTCAAGAAAGAGACTTCAGATGATGTTGATAACTGGCAGCTGAGGCTCAAGCCCAGATCAGGACGTCTTAGCCGCTTAATGCTTCTCACCCTCTGCTAGAACCTAACCCTCATGTCAGTACCCTAAAGACAGACAGACGCAGAGCGCCCCCTGGGCTTTGTTCTCCTGAATGTGGCCGCGTTGAATGTGGCCCTTCTCTGCAGAATTTTCACTATTAACTGGTCTATTTAATTGGTACACTGAGGACAGGTAACCAAGCCTGGGTTTTTAGGGCTGCCAGGACCCAGGCTCTGACCCGAACAAGTCTGGTAACATTTGTTCTGAGGAAAGTAGGAAAAGAAATATGAACACAATCTAACATTATCTGGGGTCCTCGTGTTTAAAAAATGCTTCGCAGACTGTTTGAACTTAACAAGTGACAGACATGATACATCCTGGAAATGGTCTCAATATTTTGCCAGGATAGTTCATCTAAGGAACTATGCCTAAATTTTGCCTGGCAACAGCATCTAAATATTTAAATATTCAATGAGATCTAGAAAGATATCAAACATGTACAACCAGATAACCGTGAATAGAATCAGAAATGTGATAGAAGAAAACCACCTTCCAGTTTTTCTGGTACTAGGTTGGTTTGGGTAGTCAAGAAGCACAAGATAAAGGGTATGCCTCACACTCTCTCTTAACCCTGTCATAACACCAGGCAGAGAGGCACACACCTTTAGTCCAGGGTCTCTGTGAGTTCAAGGCCAGCCCGGTCTACAGAGTGAGTTCCAGAACACCCAAGGGTACACTGAGAAACCCTGTCTCAAAAAAACCAAAAGAAGAAGAAGAGGAGGAGGAGGAAGAGAAGAAAGGAGGAGAGGGGGAAGGAGGCAGAGAAGGAGGAGGAGGAACAGAAGGAGGAAGAGGAGGAAGAGGAAGAGGAAGAAGAAGAAGGAGAAGGAGAAGGAGAAGGAGAAGGAGAAGGAGAAGGAGAAGGAGAAGGAGAAGGAGAAGGAGAAGAAGAAGAAGAAGAAGAAGAAGAAGAAGAAGAAGAAGAAGAAGAAGAAGAAGAAGAAGAAGCAGCAGAAGCACATCGGTGACTCACGCCTTTACTGCCAGCACTCTAGAGGCAGAGACAGGTGGATCTCTGTGAGTTTTGAGGACAGCCTGGTTTCAGCAGGAGTTTCAGGGCAGCCAGAGCTACAAAAATAAACCCTGTCTCAAAAAACAAACAATAACAACAACAACAAAAAAAAGAAAAGACAGAAAAGAGAACAATGGCAACAAAATGATGCCTGTTCATTATTCACATCAGAGTGATCAAAAGCAATAATTTGCCCAGGTTCCATAGCTGACAAGCCTGGAATCTAACCATTCTAACCACTCTTGAGGAACTAGAGGTGAACAGAAGATGGCAGACAGACAGACAGACAGACAGGAAAGGGGGCACAGACAGATAATGCACATGGCAAACTTTGGCTTCTTCCTCCTCTCCTTGTCCTGAGACAAAGGCCTGAGGGACCTTTTCTCCCACCAGCAGGGCTCCTCTCCCAGCTCACCAGTCTGGACCGGCCAGATATGTTCAAGGTCAGTCCTGAAGACGTATTCCTGAAGCTATGGACCTATTAGTTCCCCTTTATTTGTCTCAATGACCAACCCAACCTCAAGTTAAGGGGAAGGAACCTGCTCATACCTCTGTAAATACACATTGCCTGAAGCTTTAGGTTTCTCAGTTCCTCTGTTTAAACTGGCCAACTCAAAATTAGGGGAAGGGCACCTATTCCAGAACACCAAAAGCACTTAAAACTCCCAGTTCTCCCTGGGAAAAAAAGACTTCAGTTCCTGAATGCCCTCTGCTCCGTGGAGTCTCTCTCTCTCTATGGGCTTGCGCGCTCTCTCTCTCTCTGTCTCTCTCTGTCTCTCTCTGTCTCTCTCTCTCTCTCTCCTCTCTCTCCCTCCCTCTCTCTCTCTCATTTTTTTAAAGATTTATTTATTTATTACAAATACAACACCCTGCCTCCATGTACATCAGAAGA